ATTCTATCCCCAAAGCCCGGATCCATTCTATCCCCAAAGACCGGATCCGAGGTTCAAGCGCCTTGTTCTCGGCCGAACATAAACAAAGCTCGAAGATGTCTACAACAGGAGCAGAGTACGTGAAGGACGAGTCGGGCAAGTCTATTCATTTATTTATTTTTTTCTCCTCGGTTCTGCATCTTGATGGATGGAGTTTATGTGTATGTGAGACCAAGAGATAAAGTAAGGTCTGTAACCGTAAGGAATACATGGGATGAAGGTTATTAAAGGGCTCAAGTAGCACATGTTTTTTTTTTTTTTTTCTTTTCTTTTCTTTGTTTTTTAAGACGAGGACCTCTGGGTTTCATGGGTACTCTATGTAATATGGAATGCTATTTTGAAAAGCTTTTAGTCTTGTAGGTAATTATTTACAATAGGCGATGCTATTTGTGCTATTTTGTGCTCTGCATAGGCATATGAATGAGCAGAATTTGGTTCCAAATTTGAGGGAAATCGCCAGAATAGTCAGGAAAGTCGATTTTATTGGTTAATATTACCGAGAGCGAGACAGAGATAGAGGGAAATGGACACTGCTGTCTTATAGAGCATATGAAATAGAGTTATAAATAGCACGTACAGCTGCTCCAGCCTCATATTAACCCATTCGCGCCAGGCGTTACGTATACGTGACAGGCTCACTGTGAGTTTACTTGTTTAATTGTTTTCCCACATAGATGGCTGCACTTGTACATGTACTACCTGTCTTGCCTGTTTACCCTTTTCCTTAATTTATGAAATTATTTTGCGTTATCTTATTTTGTTGTTACTAATGTTATAACATTATAGTAATTATAATGTTTATAATAAAAATAACCATCAGTATTCATAACACTAGTAAAAATACATTTTCCCGCCAATTCAAGTAAAGGTAAAATCAGGTAAGGCAGAGCCATCTAGTGTAGAGAAATTTCATAAAAAATTAGCACAGCATTTTCCCCATTTTTTGTTCATTTTTACCCAGCGCGAATAGGTTAACTGTGAAGTAGCGAGAATGTCACTGCCTATCACCACTGAGAGACTAAGTCCACACCATTGTCACACAACCAGAGTTCCTAATGTTGCATTTTCTGTAATTTGGCATGAAGTGCTAATAAAGGGGAGTACAGGGGGGCTTGCCTCCTGTCTAGGGAATAAATAGAAGGTAGAAAAGGTTAGGTTTTGGGACTCTGGGGGGTACATCACTCTTGGCAACAAATACCTTTTTTATCAAAGAATTTGGGAAAGTTGGGGGTAGAAGGCCTCCATCATCATCATCATTATTGTTATTATTATTATTATTATTATCGGGGGGGGGGGGGGGGCTAGAAGTCAGAAACTGGGGCCCAATGTAGGGGATCACCCCTACCTTGGACCTCAACCCTTGCCTCAACTAATTTTGTATGAAGACTTTTGTCCTTATTAGGGGTATTAAGGCTTGCCCCTCCATCAGGCAGCCTATCTAAATTTGATTTCATTGGTTACCCTCTTCATAATGTTTGTCAACTCTGTCCATTCTGAATCATCCACCCAAGTCATTACTCAACCTTCAGAATACACCTCTTCCTTTCTCCCAACATCCTCCACCCCGTCTTCTTCCTGTCCTCATCCTGCTACTGCTTCCACCTCTGCAAACCTTGTGAATACCCTTTTGGGCCAAGCTAATTAGGTTTGATTCTTTGTGATTCCCCCTATAGCCCCATACTCTGACAATACCCTTCTCTTCCAACAACATATAGGGAAAGTTTCCTTTTGCATTTGTTCCAATTATTGACCAATCTCACTCCTCCTTTAATACTTGTACTGGAACTGTTTCTATGAAAATAACTATGATACAGTGGCAATCCAGTGTTACACTCTTCCTCCCAGAGGCCAACATAAGTCCTACACTAATACTGTTAAGATTAGCTTCTGTGGACATGACTGCCCCATGATGTTTATGTTGGCTGAGTGTCCTACACTGTCTGACCATATCAACCCATTCTCGGTCAGTGTCAGAAATGTTGGCGTTTTGACCACCCAGCCAAATACTGTCATATCACAGCTCGCTGCCATCTACATGCCCAACCTGGTCATGACTGTTCAAATTACTCTGCTCAGTCACGCTTGTGTGCCAACTCTGGTGGCTTCCATAATATATTTTATAGGAGCTGCCTGTCTACAAGCTGGAATCTGAGGTAGCAATTCTCAGATTCAAACTAGGCCTCACTCTACATGAGGCCAGACAAGAAGCACGCCGATGAGGTTTTTCTCTTTCTACCTATTCCTTTACTTCACTCCACTCCCCTCCCATCTCCTCAAGAAATCTCAGCATCTCCCCCAATATCTCTTCCCTTTACCCCAAGCCATCTAATCTCTAATCCCTCTCTCTCCCAATCAAATTCCTTTTCCAGTCTAAATCCAGATACTCCAATCTCAACCACTTTCGAGGTGCCTACGCCTCCTCCTGTTGCACCAGACAATCTAAAAGTTCCACTCCATTTTC